GTCAAACTGGTGGCTCTCCAGCTGTTGCCAAACTACAAATCCCAGTTACAAGCATGACTCCCAAAGGCAGAGGCATGCTGGGACTCGTGGTTTTCCAACAGCTGGAGGGCCACCAGTTTGACACCTCTGACCTATTGCAAAGAAATGGGGGGGTGCTTTATCTGACTTGCTGCAGCTTCTAATGCTCGTGAGAAGCTCACAGTGTTCAGTGAAATCAGAGTAAGCAGTTTCAGTCCAGGAGAGAAGCCGGTACAACTGTGCAAGACTGAAGGTAATATTGGCGTACAGCCCCATCCCAGCCATGTGATTGGAGAATGAAGGAGCAGCAGCGGACTGATGGTGTCATCCCTTCCTCTTTCCTTCCACTGTACATTCCTTGTTAGCACATGTGTATACAGGAGAGCCTAATGCACATTAGGTATTGAATTTCCCTCTTGCAGTGTGAGTTCTACTGCACAACAGAGTTCAAGAGGCTGATGATAAAGTAGACTCTAAATTTATCTTGGATAGTAGAGAAGAGTTTGACGCTTTGTCCTGGTTTTTTGTTTTCTGTGCCCCTGCTGGGGAGATCCACCTCCTCTGTTTTGTCCTGGTGATCTAGTTTCAGGACATTAGAGAAAATCCAAAATTATTTGATTGTCATGCAAATAGGAATATAAGGGACTTTTTCCAATGGGGACAGTTTTTTCTGTGATCACTATATTTCAGAGGATTTGGAGACATTTCCTCTCATTTACTGTTGTGTTGCTAAGTGAAGTAAAATCTCTTCAATGGGGAAACCGAACAAAACTTGGCCAAGGATGTCCTAATCATTTTCTGCTCTATCCCAAATAGACTTTTTTTTTCCTCTAGGTATGCTTATAATTGCTTGAATCAATAAATCAATATAAAGATTTTTAGGAAGCAGATAACTGCATTCAGTGGTGTATTTTTACGTCTGCCTGGAGTTTGACTTTTCGGGGGGGGGGGGGGTTGTTTTTTTTTTTTTACTGGTGGTTTCTACACATTGCCAAAAGTCGTTCTTTATTATGTTACAGTTTGCACTTTTTGTGGCTTCCACTCTCAATGATAAATATTCACTTTATTACTCAACTTTTTAGCAAAGTATACTGTTTTTAAAAATCCAATCACTGGTTGAATCTGAGTGTGCTGTAGCAGATGTTGATTCCTTCACATCTTGGTTTTCTGTGCTGTTACTGGTAGTATTAGTTGTTATTGACCGCAGGCCACACACAGACACATTCCTGGGTACGTAGGGTTTCTGTGCACTGTTGTGGTGTTATGAACTCCTTATAGCTCTCACTCGCAGTTATCAGTCCAGGCGATGAAAGGATTGCAGCCTGGGAAAGGACTTGTCGCGCCCCAATATCACACGAGCCCAATCCCGTTAGTTTTGTGCAGGAAACGGAAAACATTTTTTTTTTATATTTTATTGAAGCCTTAGTCATAAATCCCTTTAAGTTGCTTTCTAGTAATCTCGTACATTTGGGACATAAATAATTGCTGACAAAGCAGGGACTGCAGGAAACTTAAACTCCAGCCAATAAATCTAGACCTGTGCTGGAGTATTTCTGGCTGTTACCTATATTACATTCAGGATCGAAACCAAAAAAGCTTTCCATGCAATATAAGTGATCTACACTCATTATTTATGACAAAGATTGTATTTTCTCTGCTTTGTATTATGGCCCACTGTGAGCTGACAGCGCAGGGGCTCCTTGGCTTAATTGCCACCGGAGCTGATTTTAAATCTATTTTACTTGTGTTTCTTCCACAACATTAATACTTATGGAAACTTTAAACAGGTCGGTCCACCCAAAACTGTTCTCTCACCAATTGATAAATTGGTGTAAGTTCATTCACCCAGCTCTTCATCTCCTGTGGCAGAGTTTCATTACTCTTTCTGCATGATCTGTAATGTAGGTTGACTGAATAATTTAAAAGAAATAAACAGCGCAAATCAAAACACACACATCATATGAATAATAATAAACGATAAATTCTAATAAAAAAATGCAAAAGATATATAAATAAAATTGTGTCCAAAAAAAAAATATAAAGTCCTTATTCCCAAATTCCTTAGTGCTCCAACTAAAAAAAACTTTCTCCTTTTAGTATGTGCTTCCACCACCCACCAGTGCTGTTACCAACATAAACCGCACTCACCAGATACTGGTGATTTGCATGCCTTTTCTAGCCTTAGGCTAGAAGGCTGTGAGGTTTCTGAAGCTGTCTGTGGATGCTATGGGAACGATGTTTGTCCGTTTGAAGGCAAATAAACAATGCTTTTATTGATTTTGTGAAATGTGAGTGGCCTGGTATTATCATTACTATTATAAAGGAGTATTAGCAATATTACACTATATACACTTTTTTTTTCTTGCACTATTGTGGAGCTGGTTGGAAGGATACATCAGGAGTGATTTGGAAGGAGAATCTGGTGAAATGAAGTCCTGGAGGCTGTAGAGGGGGTATAGGATCCCTAAAAGGCGTGGAAATCACCAGTGTAATATTGCTAATACTCCTTTATAGTATCTGGTGAGTGCGGTTTATGTTGGTTACAGCACTGGTGGATGGTGGAAGCACATACTAAAAGGAGAAAGGTTTTTCTTGGTTGGAGCACTAAGGAATTTGGGAATAAAGACTTTATATGTTTTGGGGTTTTTTTGGACACTTATTTTTATTTATATATCTTTTGCATTTTTTAATTTGAATTTATAATTTTATTATTATTCATATGATGTGTGGGTTTTGATTTGCGCTATTTATTTGTTTCCTTTATTTTTGTGTGTGTTTACACTAGTGTACAGCAGCAGTTCATACCCTTTTTTTGGGGGGGGGGGGTTGGGTTTTGTTCTTCTGTGGCGCTGGAGTTTGCAATTCATAATGAATGAATAATTTCATTATGTGGCAAGGGACAGTATCATAATGACCACAGCTGGTGGGCAGAGTCATAAACTTAGAGATCTTCCTGCTGAAGTCGTTTATATGTGTAAAATTACAAAGTAAGGGTTTGTGTAGATATGCAAATGCACAGTGCTTTTTTATCCATTCGAGCTGCATTTATTAGGCCCCATGCATACAAGGGTGTCTAGCTGTCGTGTGTACATCTCGGCATTTTACTACATCTGGTAGCCACAGGTGCGGCATCCAGCCCCGTTGCATGCAGCCTGTCAGTCTATGCCAGGCTGTGGCTGGAAAGGGCTGAATGCTGCACCAAGTGGTGTCCATGCTTAGGGCCCTATGCTTTTGGGAACGAATATAGACAACCTAATTTCTGGGCATTCGTTCCTGAATGCATAGGGCCCTCAAAGTACTGCAGTACTTCTTAGTATAGCATTCAGCCCTGCCCCAGTCGCAGCCTGCCATAGACTGACAAGCTGCAGGCAACAGGGCTGGACGTTGCACCTGTGCCTCCTGGGTGCACCAAAATGTCTCACAACAAGTTCACAATCAGCAGCTATACATCCCGATGTGCAAAGGGGCCTATGAACTCAGAAGTACCGAAGCCCGGAGTACACACTGGATCTGACTTTGAAATCACACTTAAAGTTGCGCACTTTCAAAGTCGCATGCCATTGCGACTTCAGGTGCAACTTAGAAGATATCTTTGCGAGCTCATGCACAGATGTCTAAGTAAGTTGCGCCTGAAATTGCAAAAAGTAGTGCAGGAACTACTTTCAAAATCGGTGCAACTCCGTCGGTTCCATTGAACAGTGCCATTGTGGATAATAGGGTGCGACTTGTCATGTGATTTTGAAACTCGCACGTCGCACCAGTGTGAACCAGGGCTAAGACTCTTCTGATCTGCTGTTAACCTCCTCCTGACTTGCATATGATCTACTTCTCACCTGTTTCAAGCTGTTTTACATTCCTGGTGACTTGGATGGGGAGAGAAGCAGTTGTGAAGCCAGCAAAAGCACACTTACAAATGTCCTAACAATAACGGAAAATGTGTGTGTGTATATACACAATGTTGTGCAAGGTATTAACCGCTTGCCCTCCAGAGGATTTACCCTCATTCCTGACCTGGACATTTTTTTATTTTAACTGACAATTGTGTGGTCATGCAACTCTGTACACAATGTAAATTTATGTCCTTATTTTTTCCCCACAAATATAGCTTTCTCTCCGTGCTATTTGATCACCTGTGCAGCTGTTATTTTTTACGCTATAAAAAAAAAAAACCTGACAATTTTGAAAAAAAAAAACCCACAATATATTTGACTTTTTGCTATAAAACCTATCCAGTAAAAAAAAATTTTAAAAATCAAATTTTGTCATAAATTTAGGCCAAAATGTATTCTGCCACAAATATTAATACATGTAAATAAATTGGTTTATGTGAACGTTATAGCATCTACAAATGGCGTTATATATACACTGGTATTTAAAAATTTTTTTTTATACTAGTAATGGTGGCGATCAGCAACTTATAGCGGGACTGCAGCGGGCATTCTGACACTGGGGGGGGGGGGGACTGGCTAACTGCCACTGACATCCCAATGACACTAATACAGTGATCAGTGCTAATAAAAAGTACTGACACTGTATTGATGACACTGGGCAGAAGGGGTTAACATCTGGGTCAATCAAAGGGTTAACTGTGTGCTCTGCTGTGTTTTACTGTGTGTGCTGTGTGTGTTTTACTAGGGAAACATGCTGCTGTGTATTTCTCTGCTGTGCAGAGAAATACACAGCAGCATGTTATTGCTGGCAGGAGAGAGACCTGTGTTGTTTACACACAGGTCTCTCCCCTGTCACTGTTTCTTGGCGATCACCAGTGGATGGCGGGTGATCTCTGGCCGGGACACTGTGATTGACATCTGTAGCCGCCACTGGCGATGTGGGTAGGGCGGCGCACGCCCCCTACCCGGAAATGCAAATCACCTATATATACACTATATTGCCAAAAGTATTCGGCCACCCTTCCAAATCATTGGATTCAGGTGTTCCAATCCCCTCCATGGCCACAGGTGTGTAAAACCAAGCACCTAGGCATGCAGACTGCTTCTACAAACATTTGTGAAAGAATGGGTCTGTCACGATCTGGGTCAGGTTCAGAGACCAGTTGCTACAGCAGTTGTAAGGCTTACCTGAAACCAGCAGGATTGGTACACAAGCGGCCCACCCTGGGAATGACGCAGGCTCACCTGAGGTGCGGGGTCTAAGCATCCACCGGTCTTCCCCAGAGCTCCTAATGGTGGAGATGGATTTGGCTGCGTGTGAATGCCAGGTCGCAGATCTCAGGATCACCCCACCAGGGAATGAGTAGGCTGGAAACCAAAAGCGGATCAAACAGTTCAGGGATCAAACAGAAGCGGAGTCAGTCACAAGCCAAGGGTCGGTCACCAATGGTAGAAGATAGGATGAGGCAGAATCGTAGTCAGTAGCAAGCCAAAGGTCGGTAACGTAGATGAAGACGGCAGCAGGAACAGTAAGCAGGATATTGGCTGGTAAGGCACAATAATCTGGCAACCAGGAAGTGCAGACACATGGCTTTTATAGGAAGTTCATGGGAGGAGCAAGGAGTTCAAGGTTCAAGACAAAACAGGGAAAAGGTAGGATCATCCAAAGAATTGTCAAGGGAGCTGTCCAGCATTCCAGGTGGCTCAGCGAGAAGAAACACTGTCTCCCACTGCAGAAGGCCCAGGTTCGATTCCAGGCTCCGACAGGGTCGCTCTCAGGAGCTCAGTGACTCCAAGCGTGGTACCGTGATAGATTGCCACCTGTGCAATAAGCCCATCCGTGACATTTCCTGGCTACTAAATATTCCACGCTCAACTGTTAGTGGGATTATAACAAAGTGGAAGCAACTGGGAACAACAGCAACTCAGCCACCAAGTGGTAGGCCACGTCACATGACAGAGCGGGGTCAGCGCATGCTGAAGCGCACAGTGCGCAGAAGTCACCAACTGTCTGCAGAGTCAATAGCTAAAGACCTCCAAACTTCATGTGGCCTTCAGATTAGCACAACAACAGTGCGTAGAGAGCTTCATGGAATGGGTTTCCATGGCCGAGCAGCTGCATCCGAGCCTTACATCACCAAGTGCAGTGCAAAGCGCCAAATGCAAAGCACGCCGCCACTGGACTCTAGAGCAGTGGAGATGTGTTCTCTGGAGTGATGAATCACACTTCTCTGTCTGGCAATCTGATGGATGTGTCTGTGTTTGGTGGTTGCCAGGAGAATGGTACTTGCTTGACTGCATTGTGCCAAGTGTAAAGTTTGGTGGAGGGGGGATTATAGTGTGGGGTTGTTTTTCATGGGTTTGGTTTAGCCCCCTAGTTCCAGTGAAGGGAAGGCGTCAGTATACCAAGACATTTTGGACAATTTCATGCTCACGACTTTGTGGGAGGAGTTTGGGGATGGCCCCTTCCTGTTCCAACATGACTGTGAACAAGTGCACAAAGCAAGGTCCATAAAGACATGGATGAGCGTGTTTGGGGTGGAGGAACTTGACTGGCCTGCACAGAGTCCTGATCTCAACCCGATAGAACACCTTTGAGATGAATTAGAGCGGAGACTGCGAGCCAGGCCTTCTCGTCCGACATCAGTGCCTGACCTCACAAATGTGCTTCTGGAAGAATGGTCCAACCTTCCCATAGACGCCCTCCTAAACCTTGTGGACGGCCTTCCCAGAAGAGTTGAAGCTGTTATAGCTGCAAAGGGCGGGACCAACTCAATATTGAACCCTACGGACTAAGACTGGGATGCCATTAAAACTCATGTGCGTGTAAAGACAGGCGTCCCAATATTTTTGGCAATTCTGTGTACATGATTTTACGTAGCCCTGCCGCCCTGTAGCAGTATTTCTGCTATAGGGCAGTGAGGAAGCTGTTAACATGACATAACTCTTAGATTATTATTATTATTATACAGTATTTATAAAGCGCCAATAGTTCGCTCAGCGCTGTACATTACAAAGGGGGACAGAACATGTGACAGAACAATACCAATACAATGCAAAATATGAGGGGTTGGAGGGCCCTGCTCTTTGGAGCTTACAATCTAGGAGGGAGGGATGATCTTAAAGTAGTGAAATTCATACAAATGAGCGCAGAGAGGCCACTCCAGGTGGAAACGTGAACAGTTAATCATGAGCTCACCACTGCTGCCTTGTTAATCATTTGCATGATGAAGAGAACTGAAAAAAATAGTAGGCGCTGTGGAAAATGCTCTCAGTCAAGCACCTTAATGAAGGTGCATCTTTATTGTGAGAGACAAAATAGCAAATATAATAAAATTTGACCAGCCTGAAGTGAACAGTGTGACTCCAACGGACGGCCCGTCCGCTCTGAAGGGAGCTGAGATCGGAGAACGCTCCTGTCGGCTTCAAATCACGTGGCGTCAGCGTACCGGCGTCCCGGGTGGTGTCACCATGGCAATCGAAGGCAGTGTCCGGCGTTGGCTTCAGCTGGGAGCGTGTGTAGGGATACCAAGACGACATGTTTCACGCAGTTGCGCTTTGTCAAACTTGAGTTAGTTGCTTCCGAGTCCGGAGTTTTATATAATTTTGCGGAAATTGCTACTACATTCAGTCATCATCCTCCCAATGTTCTCTTATTTATTGCCACTGAAAACAGAAGTTTTTGGCTTTTTTTTAACATTTCATAACATTTATCAGTCTACGGTTGATGGTTGTTTATATAGTGACAGATCATCTTTATTGTATTACCATCTTTTGTGACTATTTTGTCACATGGCCTAAACACAGTTGCATTGTGTTAGCGTGCAGTGGTTTGTGCGTTATCATGCATTCCGTGCACACCATTCATTTTGAATGGGCTAACAAAACTTATTACATCTGTGTACTTCAGTGTCCTAAATCACAAGTGCATTGTTGCACTTGCAAGTTGTTGCAATTGTGCATAGAAACAACACAACAGTCTGAATGGGCCTTCAGTATCACAAGTGTGACAGATTTGGCCATTTCAATTATTCGAGCTGTACTTCAGTCCAGGATAACAGAGCACTGGTTGCACCTTACTTTTACTGTGTCTATGACACACACTCCCTAGAAATTCATTGAAAGCTGTAGGAATGACCCTAATTGCTTGTAATACAAATATTAAGTGATCCTGAACATTTATATAGCGAATAAAAATGATGTATAGTCATTTTGTAAGAATGGGAATTTACTGTAATTTTTAAAATTATTATTTTTTAGTTTAATGCTACAAGAAGATGATAGTTACTAAGTTTCCTAAACCATTATCCTACACACCATTCCCCTATATCTTGGGATTGCCAACTTTTTTTGTCTTTTTTTGCTGATTTTTTTATTATCATGTATATTCAGTGTGCATGTGTTACTACAGGAAGAAGACCACGCTTATCTCTGTTTGACAGCTTTCCCTTTTGCTATAGACTGATTTCCTGTTAATGCACCATTTGCATGAAAGATGTTTAGTGAAAAGGGGGATTTAAAGATTACTGAGGAAACGGTTGCTTCGATTTCTTTAGTTAATTACTCCAGTGTAATGCCAAAAGGAGTGGATTATTGCAGTGCAGCTACAAGTTCTTTGTATGGGAAGATAGTTCCTGGAAGTACGTGGATACTGGGATTAGGCAGCATTGGATGTGCACATGGCTGTGAATGAGGGCACATTTTGGTGGAAACTGTAAGATAAGATAGTAGACTTTTTATTCTTTTTGGATAAATGTTTGTATTCGCTATTAGGAAACAGCAGTTTTGCAAGGCCTTTTCACCTTATTGCAGGAATATATCATAAGTGTGGTCACGTAGTACACAGCATGAATGTGCTGGAGTATTTGAGAGATGGAACAAAAATACCTTAAAGAGGATCTTCACCATGTAAAATAAAAAAAATAAAAGTCAGCAGGTACAAATACTGACTTTTAAAAAGTACACACTTAAGCTGGCTATAGATGAGTCGGAAACAGAATGAAATTCATGTCATTCATTAGTATGCCAGCAGCGACATAAAATTTTCGTGCCACAATTGAAAATGCCTGATCCAACATCCTATGATTTATTTATTTTTTGAAGCAATTGAAGGAGCCGGACAGAAGACTGTCAGCCAAACAGTGACTGCATCCAGTCAGGTGGATCCACTGCTCGGGTATTCTGACAGACGCTGGTGCCAGCTGTCAGAATACAATAGCCTTCAAGAGAGATTTGCACATCTACACTGTTAAGTGTAGATGGGGAATCAAGTAATTTCTCTCATTCATTCCATTGGCATTAACAATGGAAATCTTACAGTATATGGCCAGCTTAGGATATTTAATGCTGTGTCCCTGTTGGGGGATTCACCTTACTTCCTGTCCTGGTAAATGTGGACAGTACAGGCCTTGGAAAGTATGCTACTGTTGTCCCTGTATAGAACAGTAGAAGGGATTATAAATTTATATGACAGTCCTATTTTGGCACAGCTGCAGGGTTTCCTGGTCATATTTGCTACTGTTTTGATTTTGCGTGTTGCTTCGATCATCTTTATTGTATTACCATCTTTTGTGACTATTTTGTCACATGGCCTAAACACAGTTGCATTGTGTGTTAGCGTGCAGTGGTTTGTGCGTTATCATGTATTCTGTGCACACCATTTATTTTGAATGGGCTAACAAAACTTATTACATCTGTGTACTTCAGTGTCCTAAATCACAAGTGCATTGTTGCACTTGCAAGTTGTTGCAATTATGCCAGTATATGGCCAGCTTAGGATATTTAATGCTGTATCCCTGTTGGGGGATTCACCTTACTTCCTGTTCTGGTAAATGTGGACAGTACAGGCCTTGGAAAGTATGCTACTGTTGTCTCTGTATAGAACAGTAGAAGGGATTATAAATTTATATGAGAGTCCTATTTTGGCACAGCTGCAGGGTTTCCTGGTCACATTTGCTACTGTTTTGGTTTTGTGTGTTGCCTCGAATTGCATTTTAAAGCCCTAACTCAAGAGTGAAGTCTAGTAAAACCTGATCCCCATTTGGTCTCCATATCCATCAGTGTCATTTCAGAGTGTGGCAGAAAGTAGAGTACCTGTTGTCATCAAAATTTTTTTTCCCACGGCAGGGTGTAGGTCATAAAAAACTGAATGATAAAACTCCAGTGGAAAATCCACATGCATATTCGAAGAACTCATGAAGTAGCTTGACAAGAAAAGTTCTCAGCAGCCGTAAAGTGTTACTAAATCCACATCAGTAAAAATAGTCTGTATATGCAGTAAAGCATGCTTGTTATACTCGCTCTGGAACCTAAGGGGTTAATCCTCTGCATTGTGTAAAAAGGCTGTTTGTGATCAGCACAGGGCCAATCAACACTGTCCAGATAGAGGGTCAGGGGTCCTGCAGCCTCATAGGACAGTCAGAGCAGAATGAAAAAACTCCTCATACAAGCTTTAACCAGTGCTCAGCTGGACACTAATAGAAGTCCTAAGACTGTTATATACTGCTGATGAGAAAAGGTATTTAGCAGTTTATATTTACTAAAATAATTGCATTTCCATGTTCTGTGTACTGTGGGAGACCGGATATAGTGAATGCAGGTCCTGGGTATAGTAACACTTGAAGCTGACCATACATTATACAATTTTATTGCTCAATTTCCTTTAGATTGACCTTTATTCTTAGATTTCGTGCAAGGGCCTGCCTGATTGCATACAAATTGAAAGTGTTTAGATCTGACCTCATATTATATGGTATAAATTATATGAATCTAAATGAAAATTGTATAATGTATGGCCAGCCTTAGCTAAGTGGAGAATTCCTCGCTGGGCTGACAGACAGCAGTCTAGACATAGAAGGTGTGACCCAGGATTATTCTACAAAAATGTGAAATTCATTTTTGATTAAAGCAGCACTTGATATCAGGAGTTAAACACACCATATGATTTAGTTTTTCTTGACAGCAGTAGATAGAATAAGTGGAAAGTCATTGATTATAGAGGCAAATTTTTGTTTGGCTCTTGTACATACAAACTATTGTGCCTTCACTGTCAGTTACGGTAACCTTTATTAATGCATATACTGACATTGTTCTCTTTTCTATCTGATGCGCCTTACATCCTCACATCTTCTAGACATTTTACCTTGGCACAAAGAAAATTAAAATCATAAAGTTGTCAAATGAGCAAA